TTCGATGGAACGATATTTTAATCGTTCAAAATCGAACGATTCATTTATTGTTCGATAGAACTATCTTTTAATTATTCCAAATTGAACGATTCATTTATCGTTCGATGGAATGATTTTTTAATCGTTTCAAATCGAACGATTCATTTATCATTTGATGAAACGATATTTTAATCGTTCTAAATCGAACAATTCATTTATTATTTGATGGAATGATATTTTAATCGTTCCAATCGAACGGTTCATTTATCGTTTGATAGAACGATCTTTTAATCATTTCAAATTGAGCAATTTGTTTATCATTTGATGGATGATATTTTAAATCGTTCTATCAAACGATTCATTTATCATTCGATAGAACGATATTTTAATCATTTCAAATCGAATGATTCATTTATCGTTCGATGGAATGATCTTTTAATCGTTCCAATTAAACAATTTGTTTATCATTTGATGAAACGATATTTTTCCAATCAAATAAATGTTGCAACCAACCAACAAATTAATACATGTTGTAACAAATTAATAAATTTTTTCAAATGTTGCAACTATATTGCAACATATGTTATAACAGTGGTATGTTGTAACATATCCATAAAGGCTACCATCTTTAGATATAGCAAATTTTTTTCCTTTATTATTATTAAAGGAAATGTTACATTGTAAAATTTTAATAAAGTTTAAATTATTAATTTAAATATTTGAAAAAAACTTTCATATATTTAATAAATTTCTAGAGGGATTAATTAGTGTTGAACATTGGGTTAATTAGTGATGAACCTAGGATTAATCAGTGTTAAATCAGTGGTGATTAATTTGTTGATTCAATTTATTTAATTTCTATAATTCAAATTTGAAATTGGCAAAATTTCAATTGCAAAACTGTGAAAATTACGCAAATTTTAAAATTGCAAAAATTTCAATCAAAAATCACGTAAATTTTGAAATTGCTAAAAAATTAGATCATTTTTTGGAATTTTGCATAAATTTAGATATTTTGCCAACTTATTTCTTTGAATTTTGCATAAACTTAGATATTTTGCCAACTCATTTCTTTGAATTTTACATAAAAATTAGATATTTTACCAACTCATTGAATGCATTAAATGCTAACATGGTTTGATACAATTTTATATAATGAAAGTTTTATCACGTTTTTTTTTCTTTAATTGTTCAATATTTACATAAACAAGTTTTATTCATAACAAATACCAAATTACAAAAATACCTATAACAATTGAATAGGTTATTATAAAGATTCAAAAGAAATTGCCATGATAGTCTAATACAGAAATGCAGCTTTTAATTAACTTAAGGAGAGAAAGAAATGATGATTACTGAAAAGGTTCAGAAGATTGAAGTTACCTTTTTGAAACAAGATTGCAGCGATGATACAAGAAAGATTTACAATAGCATTCAATAGATTGCAGCGAGAGAAAAATTTAAGGAAATGGTAAAAGATTGTAAAGTAAGTAAAATACTAGTAAATAAAAGAATTAATATCTTATATTAATTATATTTACATTAATATTTTAATAATTTTAATTCTTTAGTTATTTGATAAGTACACTGATGGTGACCCAAAGGGAAAGTGGACCCATGTTGGAGAAGTATTTGAGGAATAATTCAAACCCCATTTTGGAAAAGACCTGGTTAGTATAATTAAACCTTCTAATTGATTTTAATTGAAGAAAAATTATTAAAATTCAATATTTATGTTTTTTAGTATCACGTGTTTAAGAAAGAAGACTTGTAAGTAAAGATGGATACTATAATTAAAATGTTGCAATACTATGTTGCAATATCATATAAATTTTTTAATAATTATAACATGTGAATTTAAAATATAAGTTATAATTAACCGTAACTTGAAATATAAATTAATTACAAATTTTTAAGATAATAATGTGAAATATTAATTATAATTAATCATAATAAAAATTTAAATAATATATACAGATCTACTCTTAAAAAAAGAAGATATATAATTAGTATAAGAATCCATTCTCTAAAAAATTCACCTTCTGAATAACTATCTAAAAAAATTTATTATAATAGAAGAGAGAAAGAATCACTACTAAAGAAATCAACTCCCAATTAACCCTTCGCAGGATTTATCTTAGAACATATGTTTTATCTTTTTTTAATATCTAAAAACATAGTATAAGCCTTTAGGATTTCTAATTTACCCAAAAATGATCACGAAACTTAATTTTTATTAATATATTAATTATATTTTACATTATAAAATTTCAATTCTAGAAATAGTCACAAGATTCTTATACTTCTAATAAATCATTTATAATCCTTTCCACTATTGTATCTATATGTTTAGTCATTTCTTTTTGATAATATATAGCAAGGTTTGGAATTGAAATAGGAGATCACCATCTAAAATCCATTTGGCTGGATTAATAACCAATTTCTGTGTTTTGAATTAAGGAGTCTAATTTTTATTAAAATAAATGAATGAATATGAATGTCATTAATTATAATAAAAGTGTGTATTAAGTTGATAAATATAAATTAACAAAGTACCTGAAAGCTTTGGGATTTAAACTTACAATATGTTGTAATCCAGTCACCATCTTAGAATGTAAAGTTGTAATCATTTATACATTCTCTCAGGTATCAGATTATGCTAGCATCAAGAGTTCTAAATTATAATGGAATTTAAATTATGAAATTTATGAAAGAAATTTGGACTAAATTTTTTTATTTTACTTACCACACAAATAAAGTAATTTATTTCCGCTAATGTCTTCTTCCAAATATTATGAAACTCCTTGTTCAATAGGATAATTTCTTACTAATTCTTATTTTTGCATGCTTAACATTATTTTTACTTGTGCACTAAGATGAAAATTATTACGATGAATAAGTTTTATCCTGCAAGAGACTGAACATCTTATAATGATGAATTTAAAAGTTAATTCATTATTCGAAATATTAATATTATTTTATGAAATACTTACTATATAGGACATATTGAAATAAGTGGATATTTTTAACCAATATTAATTTTGCTAGTTCTTCCTGTATAATTATTATGATGAAATATAAACTTTCAGGAACAAAAAAGATTTATATTTTTTTGAATAACTTACCTGAAATCCAAGAAATCAAACACTCTTGTATACATCTTCCAACAATGTATAGTCTTTAACTGAAACAATGCTATTGCTATAAATTTGAATGTCTATGAATATTATGCTAATTAGTCTATCATTATCTTTGAAAGTTCGTATAAATATCTATGATATTAAATAAATACATAATAAATACGAGATTCGATATAAATGAAATGAATAAATGACAAAATCAATTTTTTGTTACCTTTAGTCTAACACAAGTTAATAAGTATCCCTTAATATTGAAAATTGCAATTACAGAACCTTTCATCTCTTCATGATACAGTAATTTATACTTATAATTTGTTTGCGAATTATCTGATTCAGGAACAACTTCAATATTTCAAATATATATACCTGTAAATAATTAAAGTATAAAATTAGTCAAAAAATTATTTATTATTTTTTTTTAAAAAAAAAAGTATGTACATTTCCTCATATGCCTATATCCTCACCTCGAAAAAATCCTGTATCAACAGTAATAAAAGATTTTTGTCCACTGGATGTAGATTTCATTTGAAGATTTATGCATTTAATATAAAGAATTTGTTCATCTTCCAAAAAACCATAGCTACAGTATATATATAATAGGAATCAAATAACAAACAATCAAAACAACTGAGATAGATATAAGAAAATAATTAGCGAATCTGTCTACTGTTTTCCATGTTACTGAAGATATCAATTCTAACAAGAATTTTAAAGTTTCTAGCAATAATTGATCTCTTTCTTTTTATCCAAAAATCTATCAGTTAATAGCTCAATAAATTAAAAAAGATCATACTATTAATAAATAACTTACCTTATTCCACATCATTAATAGGGTTCCCATTCTCATCTCTTAAAATAAATTCAACTGGAATGGAAGTTGCCAACGCATAAGCTTGCATTTCTGCATGATATTTGATGTTATGACCTGCTCAATTTAAAGGAAATTTCTTTATGGGCCATTCCATATTATATCAAAAGTCAGATGGTAACTCAGATAATCTTAAAATATCCTAAATATTGAATAAAAGTCATATAAATATTATTTTAAATGTGGAAGTATTATGCTTAAAAAAAATCAATGAATACTTTACCTTACAATTAGTATAAAGAAATCCTTATTTACAATGTATATTATAAAACTGAGTAAAACATTTGATTTCACCATTAACACTCATAGGATGTAATCTCAAAAAATTGTTATTTGCTATTAATAACCATACAGGATTAACACCAGTTACAAAAATTCCATTATATCTACCAAAATTTAAGAAGTGTATAATTTTTTGTGATATTTGCCTAAGTCAAAAATTTTGTCTCTCTGTCGTATCATCAAATTGGTCTATATCATTTTTACCAGACTCTTGTTGAGTAGATATTTTAGAAACGGGTTTATCATATCACTGTAGATAGTATCGCATGATATATATTTCTGGGAAACTCGCAAAATTCATATTGCAAGACTAGAGTTTGGATATGTGTATCCATAATCTTTGTATCCATACGGATAACGGATTGCAGATACTCATTTTATTACTTCGGATAGTATTCATGGATAAATAATTTTGTATGGATAATCCGTAGATAATCCGTAGATAAATAATTTTATATGGATAATCCGTGGATAATTCGTGGATAACTTATATCCATAGATAATCAGATATGCAGATAATTCGGTTATCATTTATAGATTTACCTAATCAAGTCAATAAATAATTCATTCCGTGCAAATAATATGCAAGACCTGATTCATAAACGGGTCAGGCTGGTGTCAATAAAGCCTCAGTCACTATTAGGTTTAATAACGAAGATAAAAATAATAGTCCCGTTGGGTTTGAAACAATTAAGAAAATAAATATTACGAGACAAGTGAGTAATAAAATTATGTCTAAATATATCATTTATACAGGTGAAACTGCGAATGGCTCATTAAATCAGTTATAATTTATTTTATAGTACAATTACTACTTGGATAATCATGGTAATTCTAGAGCTAATACATGCTAAAATTCCTGACTTCTGGAAGGATCAGAATGGTCTTTACATTATGTTCGATCAAATAGAACTCAACAAGAATATCAAACAATAGTTGATCATTTAACCAATTCTTTAAATTTCATATATACAATTGGAACAAATACATCATTTTCACAGATATTAAATTCACTAAATAGTATAGATTTGTTTATATCATACGAAGGATTATTACTAGATTATGAACAATCTTTAACGAGATTATTATCTGATCCTGAAACTGGTGAAAAGAAATAGTACAATATTGGAACTCATTTCTTATGGATCAGTGATCGTACACGCTAATTAAATGAAGCTCATGTGGAATATTTTAGAGGAATTCAAAATCCTATTGGAATTAAAGTTGGACCATCCATGAAACCTGATGAATTGCAAAAATTGTTGGATATTGTTAATCCTAATAAAAAAATTGGAAAAATTACTTTAATTACGTGTTATGGAGCTCATCAAGTTGAAAAATATTTACCTTTTACATTCAAGCTGTCAAGGAATCAGGACATATCATCATTTGGGCGTATGATCTGATGCATAAAAATTGAGTGCTATTAAACTAAATTTCCAAATTAGATCATCAGAAATTATTTCATTAACGCACCTTTGATTTTATTTGTTAGCACAAAACAATCGTTAACTGGTGTAAAAACTAGACATTTTAATTCAATAATTGAGGTAATATTTCACGTGTCAATTTCATGTGTTTAATCTTAATTAAATCTCATACTATACTAATTTGCTTGTTTCTCTTTTTCTTTTTAAAAAAAAAGGAACTATCAAAAGTGATACATGTTCATAAAGATAATAATAGTCAAATGAATGGAGTACACTTTGAACTAATAGGTGAAGGTGTAACAGAATGTATTTGTTCAATACAATTAGCTGAAACTGATTTATCTTTAAATTATAAAACTGCTTGTGATCCTTGATGTATTTATTAGATAAAAAACTAATATCGGGCAATTGATTCCCTTGGTAATTCATGATAACTCTTCGAATCATATGACTTTAATGTTGATGATGAATCATTCAAATTTCTGCCCTATCAACTTTCGATGGTAGAATAGAGGCCTACCATAGTGGTAACAGGTAACAGGGTGTTAGAGCATGATATCGGAGAGGGAGTCTGAGAAATAGCTACCACATCTAAGGAAGGCAGCAGACACGCAAATTACCCAATCCTGACACGAGGAGGTAGTGATAATAAATAACAATACAGAGTTCTTTTGGATCTTGTAATTGGAATGAGTATAATTTAAATCTCTTAACGAAGAACAATTGAAGGGTAAGTCTGGTGCTAGCAGTAGCGATAATTCTAACTCCAATAGCGTATATTAAAGTTGTTACAGTTAAAAAGCTCATAGTTGAATTTCGGGATCAATGTTTCAGTCATGCTATTGGTATATACTGATATTATTAGTTTTTCACCTTCTAAAGAACTGTAATGCCATTAATTTAGTATCACAAGGAATTAGGACTGTTACCTTGAAAAAAATAGAGTGTTTAAAGCAGGCTCACGCTTGAATACGTTAGCATGGAATAATGAAATAGGACATCTGATTCTATTTTGTTAGTTTCTAGGATCGATGTAATGATTAATAGAGATAGTTGAGGGCATTAGTATTCAATTATCAGAGGTGAAATTCTTGGATTTATTGAAGACTAACTACTGCGAAAGTATTTACCAAGGATGTTTTCATTAATCAATAATGAAAGTTAGGGGATCGAAGACTATCAGATACCGCTGTAGTCTTAACCATAAATTATGCTAACTAGGGATCGGATGATATTAATTTTTTAATAACTCATTTAGCGCCTTATGGGAAACTAAAGTGTTTGAGTTCTGGGGAAGTATGGTCGCAAAGCTGAAACTTAAAGGAATTAACAGAAGGGCACCATCAGGGGTAGAGCCTGTGGCTTAATTTGACTCAATATGAAAAAACTCATCAGGTCCAGACATAGTAAGAATTGATAGATTCATATTCTGATCCAACACCAAACTTTGATCATAGCAAAGTTAAAGGTTTAATTACAGAGTTAATTGACTTGAATCCGCAACATATGCAATGCTCGTTCATATTAGAAATTTGTGCTAGTGATAGATTGTATAATATAAGTTTTACCACATCATTTAAAAAAAATTTTTTTTCTTAGAAGAATTAGTAATCGTGATATTTATAACATAATTGATCATAGAAAATGAAGTTGTTGTAACCCAACTTATCACAAATAGACAATTATGGAAACACGTAATAATAATTCCTTTAAATAGGATTCAAGCGTATAAATTATCAGCTGAGGTGAGAATTAATAAAACTATCAATTTTTAAATCGATGTTGCTAAAGTTTTTTTGGTAAAAATATATTAGAGACTCACGAATGCTAAACGGATGGCTCCTGAGAAAGTAGATCTAGCATTGACATTAATCGGTTATGATCATGAAACTGCTATAGAATATATATTTGAAAATACCTTGATAATTACAAATGCAAATAGAGCTAAAAAAGTGAATTTTAACAGGAATGTACAAACTAAATCTGTTATTATTGAAGGAGATGTTTATGATCCTACTGGAACTCTTTAGGGCGAATCCAAACCTTCATCCGCTAGAATTCTTATAAATTTGCAAACTTTAAAAGGCTACAAACAGCAAATTAAGATTAATTAGGATGAATTCGATAATCTTGATGTAGAAATTAAAAGTACGTAGAGGATAGAAGATAGTTACAAACAAATTAAATAGCAGTTAGAGTTAAAGACACATCAAGTCGTGTTGTTAAAACAACAAATCAAAAAATGAATCACAAGTAATTATCTGATAAATAAAACATAATATTTTATAATATGTCCTATTTGGATACATTAAATTAAATATTCATTAATATAGATTTATATCATCAAGAATATCAAATCTAAAATAGTCAAAATTGAAAGTACTATTACCACTTTTATGGCGAAATGGAAATCTGCTTTAGATTCATATCAAAGAATTGAAAATAAAATGAAAGAGTTCGAAAATAATCAAGATTCAAAACTAAAAGATCTAAAGGTAAACAAGAGAAAACCTAAAAAATTAAGGATGTAACTTATTCACATGTTTTATGCATAAATCTGTATCTCAAGGAAAATCAGAGATCGTACAAAGTAATCAAGTTGTTACTAATATGCAGAGGGAAATCCAAACTATATTTTTGGAGAGTAGTAAGTTTTGAAGCTACCAAACTTCAATTTAATGAAAATGAAATAACTTAATATACATTTTTAATTTATATATATATACTGTATAAAGAGTAACTTGAAAAAGATCTGCTAAACATCAACAAAGAAATTGATAATTTTGATGATAATATTAAACAATTATCTGAAGTTGCTGAATCTATGGGAAATGATTTATGATTAATATAAATTGTATTGATAAACATTCAATAATTACATGTGTTTAACTAATGATATTTATTTATTTTTTAAGTGTTTGTTACATCAAACTTAAACTGAATTAAAAAAAGAGATAACGATATCGGCTTTTAATGGAGAAATTGCATGCGTGTTTGGATTATGAATTGATACTGAGTGGTATAGATTCTAAGGGATCGATAGTATCTATTAGTATTTTCCCTAATAGGATCAACTCTGGGTTTTAAAGGCAGTATAAATATAAGTTAAGAAGGTATGCACTCTTTATAAATTCAAATTTTATTAGGTTTCTGTTTAAGAGGAGGTTAATTTCATGTTCTGTATTTCAATAAATCAAATAAAAAAATATATTAAGTTAGATTTATTAAATAAAAACCAGTATTTCTTTGAATCAAATTCCGATTTGTGTAATTGTATTTCGTAATATAATATAGATAATTGATTTTTTTAATTTTTTTATTTTTAGCGAAAACTTTATTCATTTTCAATTTTTTATTTTCACTTTAACAATTTTAGTGTTTTACATAATGGAACTTAATAATGATGAAGACAATGCTAATATTAGTGATTCTGCTCAAACTAATAATTCAGTTGGTATAAAAACAAGTAAAAGAAAGAAAAGAAGAGATTTAGCTGAAAATAAAACAGATATATGGTGTTATTTTAATAAACTTGATCTACTAAAGCCTAACACAAAAAAGGTTCTTGTAATGTAGAAATCAGAATAAGCAAAGATGTAAAAATATGTGGACATATAATTAATACAGATGGATCAACTAGTAATTTTTGGTCTCATTTGGAAGCTCATCATATTATACTTAGACTTGAAAAAGAAAGTAATAATAATTCTATTCAAATAAAAATTGATGTAATGTTTCAAAAAAGTAGGCAAAAAATCCTAAACGTAAGCAAGAGTGTAATGAAGCATTAACAGAATTTTTAATTGATGATATGCAACCTCTCTATATATTAAAGAATGGAGGATTTATTAATTTAATCAAAACTCTTGATCCTTATTATACTCTTCCAAGTGACAAATATATCAAAAGCTTATTACCAAAGCATATAATAATTCTAAATAAAAACTTCTAAATTTATTTGATAATACTATAAAATTCTGTTCAATCACAATAGATCTATGGACTGCTAGAGATCGTCAAGGGTATATTGGTGTTACATGTTTATTTATCAACAAAGAATTTGAATTATAAGAAATAATGTTAGCATGTTAATATATGGAATATTCACATACAAGTCAAAATATTGCTCAAACAATATTGAATCTAATTTCTGAATGGGGTTTAGAAAAAAAATTTATTTGTATTACTACTGATAATGGTAAAAATATGGTTGCAGCTTCTAATCTTTTACCTAATACATTTCGGATTCCCTGTGCAGCTCATACATTAAATCTTATAGTAAATAAAGGTTTAATGCCAGTTGAAATCTTAATAGCACATGCAAAATGACTTATTAATTTTTTTATGAGTCCAAAACAAAATAAACATTTGAAGGCAATACAATTATGTCATTTAAATGAATCTGAGGTAATATTTTCATATTTATTTTAATATTTCTTAATTTATTGAATTATTAATAATACTAATAAATAATAATATAAATTTTTATTTTAGGATTTTTCAAAGAATCATAAATATTTACGTATAATTCAAGATATAAAAACAAGATGGAATTCTTCTTATCTTGCATGAGAACGTCTTCTTAAACTTCATAATGCAATTAATATATTAATTGCAACTATGAGTACTGAATCGAATGCAAATACTAAAAAAGATTTAAAATGTTTTAAAGAAATAATGCTTAGTAATGATGAATGGAAACTTTTAAAACAATTAACTAAAATACTTTAACCTTTTTATGATGCAACTAAATTATTAGGTGGTGAAAAATATGCAACAGCATCTTTTATGTATTATATTGTGGCTACTCTTCAATTTAAAATAATTCCTAAAAATGTTGAAGTAATAGATTTAACAATTAATGATGATGATGCATTTGATGATGTTGAATTTGAAGATTATGATGATGATGATGTCGTTATTATGGATAAAACACAAAACAAAAAAAGAAAAATTAAAATTAAAAATCCTTTAAATTGTGAAGGAAAAGAAGAAGAAGTTAAAAAAAATTTATATCATTTATTATGTTATTATTGGGAAAATCCAGCAAAAGAATAATATCAGCATTACTAGATCCACATTTAAAAGGCTTTAATTTTATTTCTAATCTAAAAAAAGAAAGAATAATTTCTCATTTACGTAATAAATATCAATCTATTAAGGAATCTGAAGAGTTTATTACTAATATTACAAAGATATCAGATAATTATAATTCAAATTTATTGGAATCAAATAATTCTTTACTTATAAATATGTTTGCAGAAAGTCAAAATACTGAAAATGAAATTAATGAATATCTTTCATTACCACAAGTATCTCTTAAAACTGATCCTTATAAGTGGTAGGCAGGAAATCAAGACAGATTTTCAATTTTATCTTATTTAGCCAAAAAATATTTGTCAATTTCAGCTACATCAACATCTAGTGAAAGGTTATTTTCTCAAGCAGGTAATATAATGATAGCAAAACATACACAATTAAAGCCAAAATTTTTTGAAAAAGCTTTTATTTTTAAAAAAGAATCATAATGTTATAGGTAATCTTTTTTCACCAGAAATTTATAATAAATTTGATGAAATTTAAATATTTTTTAATCATTTGAAATAAATAAATATATTAATATTGTATTAAATATATAAAAATTATTATTTTATTAATTATTTACTTTTATATCTATGCATTTATATATGTTATCCATGGATAATCTGTATTATTCATGTTATCTGTGTTATCCATATTATCTGTATTATCTGTGTTATCTGTATTATCTATGTTATCCGTATTATCCGTATTATCCATATTATCTGTGTTATCTGTATTATCTGTATTATCTGTATTATCTGTATTATTCATATTATCTGTATTATCTGTATTATCTGTATTATCTATGGATAACATGAATATGGATTATCCATTCAATTTTTTTTAAATTATCCATATTCAGGTTTAATTTTTATATGGATAATGGATATTAAATTTATATTACAGATATGTATTCATGGATAATATGGATATACAGATCTAAACACTATGCAAGATGTTCAGATAATTTGGCTTGTGATTGTGATTTTTGAAAAGGATCAAATACATCACTGCTGGAAATATATTGATAGGTTTTATATATAATTATATCTTTAATACTTATACGCGTCTATGAAAATATTAAATAAAAAACTAGTTAGAAAAATCACGTTGAGTTTAAAATGATCTTTGTGATATCTTAAAATATGTAACATGTGCATAAAAAAGAAACAAAAATACTTACAACTAAATAAGGTTCCTTTGATCTTATTCTAATATTTATCAATAAAATTTCTTTTATTTCAGATTTTTGTGATATAGAATTTAAATTCTGTCGGGAAGCAAAATCGATAAGAACTGCTGGTGACAAGTCAAAATATGAAAAAAGAAAAACCTCTTCGAATTCAGAAAGTTTAAAAATCTGAATAAATTAATTATAAGGATTAGAATTTATTATTTTTAAAATATTATTATATAATTCTTGACAGAAAAACATTTACTATAGATATATATTAATACCTCTAAAGAATCATCCTGTTTAAATAATGCATACCAAAAAGTTATTTCTTTCATATTTTTAACTTTATCGCTCACATTTTCTTCATTAACTTCACCATAACTTGTGCTATTTCATCTAATTTAACTTCCTTATCTATTTCCATAGAATTTTTTTTGCTTTTATTTAAATTTTTCTGAGTTTCAAAACCTTTACATAAATCATCAAATTCATCATTATCAAAATTCATGGGTGAAAAGTATGTAAATGTTTTGCTTTAATGTTTTGACTTTAAAAGAGAGGATTTTGGGGTTGCATCTTTAACAAGAGAAAAAAGTTCTGAATCATCTTAATATATACAACAAGATACTGTAGGGATAACCTATCAAAAATATTAATTAAACCAAAGTAAATTTACTACAAAAAATAAATTATATGTAAACTGTAAAAAAAAAAAAAATAAAAAAAAACTATCTCATATTAATTCGTTCAGGCTGTGAATACACTTCAATAATTTTTGTTCTTTTATCTATTTTCATCAATGCAATATCTCCATTATCAAAGATAAGTGTATAATACACAATAATTTATAATCTGATATCTCAAGAAAACTAGTGTCAGATTTTCTAATATTACCTATAGAGTTATTTATTAGTTATCTGTTACCACTGTTTCTCTTGATCCTTTTTCAAAAATAATACTTTCTCTTTAAATAATAAAATGCTAATATAAAGAAGTATTAATAAAGAAGTACTATTCTTTTCAAGTCTTCCATCTATCTAAATAAAAAAATAATTGGAACTGAAAAAAGGAAAAAAACTAATAAATAAAATGAAAAGTATTGATATTTGCTGATCCATCTTATAAAGCTGGTGATTTTTTTTTTGTCAATCAGTCAATTAATTTAATTTCCGATATTTATTTATCTGGATTTTTATTTATAGATAAATCAGGCTTTTTTTTTCGATCGAATTTATATATTTAACTATTTTATTTTTATTTTTCGATTTATAAACTTTAAACACTAATATTTTATTTTTTTTTTTAGGGTAAACTCTGAAGCTTCTTGGAATAGCTAATGAAAGGTAAGGTATTTAATTAAAATATGAAGATTGTATTATTAAAATAGAATAATACTAACATTTTATTCCTTTTTTTGTAGGTTAGATTCTGAAGTTTCTTGAATGATCTTTTGATAAGTGATTTAAGATGGAATAAGGGGATATTTCCTTTTGTTATAGGAATGATACTAACATTTTCCTTTCTTTTTTTATAGGTTCAATCTGGAATTTCCTAAAATAGTCCTTTAATAGGTAATTAAAAATAAAAAATAGGGATATTTTCTTTTGTTATAGGAATAATATTAAAATTTCATTCCTTTTTTTTATAGGCTATATCTAGAGCTTTTTGGAATGGTCCTTTGATAGGTGATTAAAGATGAAATAAGGGATATTTTATTTTTTTTTTTTTATAGAAATAATACTAATATTTTATTCCTTTTTTTTATAGGTTAGATTCTGGAGCTTCCTGGAATGTTTATAATTAAATTTTATCAATAAATTATTGTAGTAGTATAAAAATATACAATTTGATTTACAATTCATGTAATATATTTTAATAAATTGATTATTTTTTTATATCTTTCTCTTCCAACCACGGCATTTTATTTGATTTTATTTCAACAAAAAAAACAATATTCGTGTTGTTTATTTTTAATATATACTTATATATACATAAATTTATATACTTAATTCAGTATATTATTATTAAAATAATTAAAATAAATTAATTAAAAATTTAATAGATTATTCCTTTTATAATAATAAATAATAATACGAATATATATAAATATACACTAACCTTATTACTTATACAAATTCTTTAATTAATTCTTCCATATCATAATAATCATCATTATACATGAAGTCGAAATGAATCATTTCGGATGTCCGAAATGGTCAAAATGGTCGAAAAATTTCGACTTTTGGACCTCCCAAAGTCGCAAATAGTCGAAATGACATCATATCACATGATTTTTCATATATAAAAAAATACAAAAAATACAAAAAATGTACAATCTCTGTCAATATCGCTTCGATTCTCATGAAAAACTGCCATTCGATTTCTTGCGACTAGACGGATCCAATGAGCTATACTATATTGAATTCAGATGAGCCAATCATGAGATAAACGCGATTGAATTATCAGCCGAAATCATAATTCAACTTTAAATAAAGGGGTTCGGGTTTTTGAGATACGATCGCGATTATCTCATGATTGGCTGATCAGAATTCAATGTAGTAAAGCTTGTTGGATCCGTCTAGTCGCAAGGAATCGAATGGCAGTTTTTTTCATGAGAATCGGAGCGATATTGACAGAGATCGTACATTTTTTGTATTTTTTTTATTTTTTTATATATGAAAAATCATGTGATATGACGTCATTTCGACCATTTCGACTTTCATTTCGACTTTGACTTTCAAAGTCGAAACATTTTGACTTTTGGGTTTTCATTTCGACTTCATGTATAATCATCATCATCTTTATCATCATCAGTTTTATTATATTTTTTGAATCTAGACATATCTACATGATCGATAATAATAATTAGTTTCAAATTAAATTGTTTTACTATTTCTAATTCTTCTTCTATATCTATATTTACTACTCCTTCTTATGTTCTTAAACTTGATAAAATACTTATTTTATCATCATCTTCAACTATTTCTTCATAACTTTCACTTAAAGATGTTTCAACCATTTTAATAATTTCTTCTTCTTTTGTTAATTCATTATTATATTTAATTCATTTTTTATATTTCTCATATAATAACGATATATTTTTGTTAATGATTCTATTGTAGTAATAGATAATTGAGTCCGTCTTTTTCCATAAATCCATCCTACAGAAGACCTATAAAATAGAAATATTAAATTATTAATATAACAAATTTAATTAATTTAATAATGAAGTAAATTAACATCCAATATTCTTTCATAACTTACTACATGTAAACTTATTGAAAATATTCGAATTGTAAAATTTTGCAATTGATTTTTTGCAGAAAAACATGTGCTTTACCATTTTAATGGATTATCTTCTCCATGAAGATAAGGCACATTAAATGGTGCTTCATTTAATTTGTAACTTCTTAATTGACTAATTAATTTACTATAATCTTTTTTTTATAACCCATTATTTTATATATATTATCAGCTTTTATTAAAATTTCTGGTATACGAATATCAGGAATACCCGATCCTATATTAAAATATTAAATATTATAATTAAAAATTATTAATTAAATAATAAATTATAAAAAAATATATAAATCTTTAAAACGTAAATGCAAAAAACATGCAATTAAATATATATCATCATTAAAATCATTAAATCTAATAATTATATAAAATAAATAAAATAAATATTTATTATTATTATTATAAAATAACCTTTTATTGTATTTTTTTATAGAATAATTTTTAAATATATTATAATTAAAATTTGATAAATTTTGATATGAAATACCGATCCTTAATAATTCAACAAAACAATCTGCTAAATTGGCATTTTTTCATTCTAAAAATAATATTGCTTGTTTGATTGGAAGTAATATATTGGTAAGTACTTTAACATCATTAAAAAAACCTCTCCTATTAATAATTAATTTTATAGCTTCACTTGTTATTTTATCATGATATTTTTCATAGATCTATTTAAAATTAAATATTAAAATTATTAATAAATTTTTAAATTTTAATATTAGAAAATATTTACTTACTTTGATAAAATAACTTTTAAGTCGTAAAATAGATGCTGTACATTTAGCAACAGTAATTTATCTAGTCTTAACATATGTTTTTATCCCTCCTTCTAAAATTTCATTTTTTAAAATTAGTTTTTCAAGTAAATCACTGCATTGATGTGATTTTTTAAAATAACTGACTAAAATATTACAATATTTTATAATTTTTGCTGCAAAATTATGCTATAAGATATCTTGTGAAATAGTGTGCAATATATCAAACATTAAAAATTTTTGGATATTTTGTTGAAATTAATTGTCATGCTAATAAAATATTAGGCCTATTATCGGTTACTATTGCATAAAATTTACTAATACCAATCTTATTAAGAATTTTAAGAATCTCTTCTGCAATTAATT